TTTTTTTTTTTTTTTTTTGGCCAATGTTCATTGCTGTTACAAATATATACATCAGTGTGTACGGTCGATCTTGTTTCGTTTTTGTTTGCTTCATTTTTCTTTTACGATTAATTTTACGGATAATTTTTTTTCTTCTTTTTTTTTTAATTATGGGCTAGACTCGCTTCATTATTTTTCTTTACTTCATTTTGTTGATGTTTGTTCGTGTAAATTGTAAATTGTTCGTGTATTATATTTGGTACTTTGGAAGCGAAGTAAACTGGGAACATTTAATCAACAACTTATAATTTATTATTTATTATTGTACAAAATTCAATCATAGTGTAAAATAAAGAAAGAGAGAGAAATAGTCTTTTTTAATGCTATTAGTAGTTTCTAACGTTCAAATGGCTAAATTATTATAAGAACGAATCCTGTGCACGACAGGTTAAACATGTGTCTCTATGTAAATCTGTAGGTACAGTATTAGTCTAAATCTAAATGCTACAGTTATTTAATATTTATTTATTAAAATACCATCGATCATATCGAAATGTTTGCAGTTTCAATTTCGTTTCCCTAGTCATTTAATGAGGAATGGGTCACCGGTGACCCGCAACATGGAACAATATTAATTAATATAATTACGTTCTAGATTTGTATATTCCTTCTTAGTTCGATTATATCTATGCGTAATTATATATAATATATAGATAGATACATATACATATTAAAAAGTAAAAGATAATGTTTATTTATTATCATATTAATATATATACATACATATATATATATTTTTTTTTATTCTTTTGGTAATATAACGTTGAGTTACGTTTGCATGTTTATAACTAACTCAAACGTAATAAAACGCCCCTATGCAGGCCTGGCCTAGCGTACCAAAGTATCTTCTCTTCCTCGTCCTTTTTTTTTTATCTCTCCTCTGTATCCTGAAAGTTGATAAAGTCCAAAGAAGAATTTTTCGAGCGGCGGTCCTACTAGTCGTGACATATGCTCTTCTCTTCGATACTGACTCGTAACCGTGCGAAGGAAAAAAAACAAGAATTAAGCAAAATACAACAGACCCTAGTCATTCTACGATGAAACGTGGTGGTAATACTCCTAGCATGAACGTGAAAAACGTGCCACAGGGAGCAAAACATGAACGTGTAAAATGCACCACGTGATTTTTCTCGAATATATATATAGGTCCTATAACCTTTCTGTTTCTCTTTAACTACGTCCTTCTCTCCGTCTTCTCTCTTCTGTCATCTCTGTTCCCTCCTCTGTCTCTTTTCTCGCAAGTCTGCATATTTTGCAGTCTTCGTCTCTCGAAGACTGACTTGAACTTCGCAACAGTTGGAAAAATTTTTTTCGTCGGCCATGTCGGTCGAATTGTCTTTTTCTGAGGAAAGAAAACAAAAAGAAAGAAAAAGAAAAGAATAGAAGATAATCTTCAAACCGACAGATATTTTCTGTAAGTGCGTTCTCTTAATCGCCGGCTGTAGCTAGTGTGTCTATCCTTTCTAGACTTCCCACGACTTTGCGTCCGTACAACGGAAGCCTAACGCCAAGAGGGCAATCACGTTCGATGCGTTCGACAGTCCCTGTTGTATTCTCAGCCCCTTGCCGCTCAGGCCAGCCAAACGCGCCAAGGTGAGTGATTTT